GCAAAATCTCTCAAACAAAGGAATGGAGCTATTCAGTTAGGGGCCTTTTTGGTCACCACAACACTGTCCACTTGGATACAAAAGCTTGTACATGTCAAGTGTTCCAGAAGCTTAAAATCCCATGTGGACATGCTCTTTTGGCTGCTGACTCAATTGGTCTCCCCTACAACCAATTGGTTTCTGAATTCTACAAGACACAGCACTGGAGAGAGACTTACTCTGGTGTTATCTCCCCTGAGGCTCCTTTAGGAGACATACAAATACCCCGTCATATCGAAGATCTCACCATTTGCCCTCCCAAAACCCGCCGCCCCTCTGGCAGACCTAAGGACAAAAGGATTCCTTCCACAGGAGAGGTTCAGGTAACTTCATTTTCCTCCTATTCATAGACTATTGTCATATTCATTCTTGTACTTACTTTTTTTCTATCTGATATGATCAGCCTCCCAAGAAAAAAAAAACAATCCCAAACAAATGTGGACGTTGTGGTGGCACTGGTCACAATCGCACTCGCTGCGTTAGGCCCATCTGATTGTGGTGAATCTTATATCCACGGCATCATCTTTTGGCTAGCAAATTCACCAAGGATCAGCTTCTTGATTGTACCTTTCTGTTCTTTTTTGGGTTTTCATGTCAAAACATTACGAACATGTATTGGTTGATCCTTTTGGGAGAAGTATAACGGTTGTTTCTTATTGGCTATAATTTCCCGCAAAGTTAGCCAGTTTGCTCATGCACTATCTAAATACTGTACATGTGTACAGCTTTTACAAACACGGACATGTACGCCAACTAATCGTACAAGCCGGGGACTTTCTATTAATACGGCACCGTTTTGCTAGACCACTTATAAACCCCTTCTTTAACCCTAATAAATAAGGCTCGGGCACACACCATTGAAATTAGGGTTCCTCTACCTTTCAAAATAAACGCCCCATCCGCTGACCAAAAGGGACACTCTCCATGGCAGACAGAGGATTCCCGACGCACTGCCCATGTGGCTCCCGTGTTTCCCGCCGCACATCTAAAACCCCCACCAACCCTGGCCGCTTATTTCACAGTTGTCCATATGGCAATGAGGTATGTCTTCGATGGTAACCCTTTTCCACAATTATACCTATTTCAAAGTTCTCAATATTTAGTATTCCCAATTACTTTAACACATTCACCTTCTCAACCTTCACATTATCTCTGATTCTTATCCTTCTTTCTTCTTGTAGAACAATCCTCACCACCTATTCAAATGGACGGATCTGTGTATGGTTGAGGAAATCGAGGACATAAAATTCAATATCGATGGTCTTCAAATGGCTTCAGTTGACACGGAAAAAGTCGTGCAGGTCTGTCAATCTCATATCGAGAATCTTACACTTGAAAACCGTGCTTGCTGCAGTCTCGTTAGCACGCTGAAAAACGAGATCTCTGGATTCGAACAGGAAATTAAAGATGCCCACATGGAACTCAGAAGCCTAAAAAACATGGTTGCCTGTGTTGTTGTACTTTTTGTTGTCTATAAGTTATGTACATAGTGTCTTCTTCCTTAGTATTCTTCCTGTCCTAAGCTCAAAAGCCTAAAAAACATGGTTGTTGTACCTTTTGGTGTCTATAAGTTATGTACAACTGTTGTTAAATGTTTCTCATCATCACTTTCTTATCAATCAACCTCTTAGATTTCAAAACTACCAAGTCAATTTCCTGCTACCCTATTATAGTGTACAATCATTTGCAAACTACTAATTTGCTCTTTCACAACCTTTCCCTATTACATTGTACAATTTTACTTACGAGTTCAAATTCAATATAAAACAACTTCTTACAAGGACTATCAGTCAGTACAAACATCTCAGATTAGAGTGTAACAACTATGCAACTAATTGGTATATGGGCTATTAGTCTGTACAATCAATTTCCGTGTACAAAGGAGGTCCAACAGACTAACTATCTATTGTACAATTCAGTTATCCATGTACAATTCACTTATCTAGGAAACTTTTTCTCATGTACCGATGTACACACACTACTTTAGACAATACAATCACTTCACTCAAACTACTTTAGAAGCGGAACAGATTTTTAAAGCACATTATAATGTTGGGATTTTTAGAGTACCAACTTACAAGCTTCTGTATCCAGATTTTACATTACAGTACCATCACACAACCAAGGAAATGAAAAACAATCCCCCCCTACCACCTCGCCGTTAAAACAACTACAGCAAATAGTACTAGTCAAGCCCAACAGAAAATAGTACAAACACTGCCCCCGATACAAACGAGATCACAAAAACAAAAACCAACACATGTACATCCCTACTAGTTCATCCCATGTACAACNCCATGTACAACGGTACAACCCAATCCTTGTACACATGCATAGCATAGTGTTTCCTGAAAATGTCAACCAACTCATCAGTGATGTCCTCTACATCTGGTTCCTCAACACCTGTTGCAGCCAACTCTAAGAACTTCATAGCCACAGGCCCACAATCGCCACTGCGTGTGTTCTGGTAACCATCAGCCATCAACTCAACACCGTCGTTCGCATTTGTAAAATGTTTCTCATCATCACTTTCTTATCAATCAACCTCTTAGATTTCAAAACTACCAAGTCAATTTCCTGCTACCCTATTATAGTGTACAATCATTTGCAAACTACTAATTTGCTCTTTCACAACCTTTCCCTATTACATTGTACAATTTTACTTACGAGTTCAAATTCAATATAAAACAACTTCTTACAAGGACTATCAGTCAGTACAAACATCTCAGATTAGAGTGTAACAACTATGCAACTAATTGGTATATGGGCTATTAGTCTGTACAATCAATTTCCGTGTACAAAGGAGGTCCAACAGACTAACTATCTATTGTACAATTCAGTTATCCATGTACAATTCACTTATCTAGGAAACTTTTTCTCATGTACCGATGTACACACACTACTTTAGACAATACAATCACTTCACTCAAACTACTTTAGAAGCGGAACAGATTTTTAAAGCACACTATAATGTTGGGATTTTTAGAGTACCAACTTACAAGCTTCTGTATCCAGATTTTACATTACAGTACCATCACACAACCAAGGAAATGAAAAACAATCCCCCCTACCACCTCGCCGTTAAAACAACTATAGCAAATAGTACTAGTCAAGCCCAACAGAAAATAGTACAAACACTGCCCCCGATACAAACGAGATCACAAAAACAAAAACCAACACATGTACATCCCTACTAGTTCATCCCATGTACAACGGTACAACCCAATCCTTGTACACATGCATAGCATAGTGTTTCCTGAAAATGTCAACCAACTCATCAGTGATGTCCTCTACATCTGGTTCCTCAACACCTGTTGCAGCCAACTCTAAGAACTTCATAGCCACAGGCCCACAATCGCCACTGCGTGTGTTCTGGTAACCATCAGCCATCAACTCAACACCNCCATGTACAACGGTACAACCCAATCCTTGTACACATGCATAGCATAGTGTTTCCTGAAAATGTCAACCAACTCATCAGTGATGTCCTCTACATCTGGTTCCTCAACACCTGTTGCAGCCAACTCTAAGAACTTCATAGCCACAGGCCCACAATCGCCACTGCGTGTGTTCTGGTAACCATCAGCCATCAACTCAACACCAAAAGGTACAACCCCATTCCCTTGCAGATACTCAGCGGCGCAGGCTTTCCGTACTATGTAAGGAAGCATCTGAGCTATTGGTGTCATTAACTCCATCACATCATCCAGTTCTCTAAGACTTCGGTCTGGATCATAGACAAGCACACTCCACTCGGTAATACTAATGCGCAACCCAACCCAATGATTGGTCCCCCAGAACATAGGAGTGTACACCCAGTCTATGTCCACCCCAAGTTTCTTCCCTTCTTCAGTTAAATAACCAGCAAGCTTCGGGTCAGAAAATACTCGCCCCTTATATGTGGCTGCCTTAAACGCCCGCGATTTCCCACCCAGCTGAGAGATAAACCAAGGTGATACAAACATTGCTCTGTTCTCCTTCAACACATCAGCATGCTTCTCACTGATATAGTCCACCAACACTTCCATATGCTGCCAAAACACAGAAAAAAATATTACAAATAAACAAACGTAATGGAAGCCATTTAAACTACCTATATCATACCTTGCTTGACACCCATTTTCTCGGGGTTGCCAACTCCAGGAAAAATTCATTATCCAAATCATATTTGCCTGTCCCCAAATGCAACCTGCAAACAAAATAACAAGGTATTACTACAACATCATTAAACATAAACCATTCTCAAATGGTATTACTTACACTTTCGGGTTTGCAAGCAACACCTGCTTGAAATAGCCAAAATCAACATCCTCCTCAGCTGGCACAATTTGTTCTAAGCTATATGGGGCTTTCGCCAATAACAAAGCCGCCAAGTCTGCTTCTGACTCTATCGGCCTGTGCTTCTTGCTCCTTGGACACGGGGATGAGTCGCTCACATAGGTTACCATTTCTTTCCCACTTATATGAGACTCATCAACAGTCCTCACCTCCCCCGAAACGGATGCATCAACCTGGATTTAAAAAACAACACAGAACATAAATAAACCAAAACAACAAGAAAAAGTACATTACTTAAAAACACGATCCACTTATACAGATTACCTTCTCAGACCCCACACCTTCAGCCTCCGCACCAGTCCTATCAGCTCCTTTTCCATCCAACTCCTGTTCTTCAACCTCCGCACCAGTCCTCTCAGCTACATCCGCCTCAACACCTTCATCAGCCGCTTCACCCGTCTGCTGTGGACAAATAACAAACCCTTAAAACCTTACTCATCCATCCGTCCACTTTTATCGTACATTACCATATATTATTCGTACACGCGTACAACTAGACTCACATTTACGTATACAACATATACAACTTGTACACTAGTACAACATATATGACTCGTACAAGTAAAAAACAACCATTGCCACCAGCATCCTTACCTCGCTACCATGACCACTTGTACACTAGTACAACATATACCACTTGTACACTAGTACAACATATACCATTTGTACACTAGTACAACATATATTACTCGTACAAGTAAAAAACAACCATTTACGTATACAACATATACCACTTGTACACTAGTACAACATATATTACTCGTACAAGTGAATAACAACCATTGCCAGCAGCATCCTTACCTCGCTACCATGAACATTCCCTTCGCCACCCTTCAATTCCCCAAACTTACTTCCATGCTCCTTAACAAGTGCACCCACCAATTTGTTCAGCCCACCTAAATCCTAGTACCCAAATATGAAATGAAATGTTTAAAACGAAACAAACAGAAAAGAAATTAAAAAAAAAAAGAAACGTAAAACTCAGCAACAAACCATGTTCACTTCACTCTCTTCCGCCATGCTCTTTGATACTAACGAATTTCCAGTTTCCTCCCCACCACTGCTGACCTGTGCACCCCAAAAAAAATCAAATCAAACCTTACAACAATGTATACTCAGCATCATACAACTTAAATCACCTTCTCATTTATGCTACTGCCACACTTCGTCACTTCGTCTCCAACACTTGTACTCCCCTGCACAAAAACATAATACAAACAACAAATGAAGAATTCGCAAACAAATAGAAAAAAAATGTTCAAACAAAATACTTACATCATCCTCAGTTACGTAAAACGTTTTGCTTGTAGTGGCTCTATATAGTACAGCTCCACCATGACCCTTCAAACTTTTCTCTACCCACTGCTGTGGTACACCATCTCCTTCTTTCAAGGGTACAAGCATTTCTTCAGGTGGCTCAGAGGAACTATCATCATCGTCCAATTCCAAACCCTCCATCTCATTTGATTCACCATTATCATCTGCTTCCGGTTCTCCCAGCAAAATACCACCATCACTCTTATCTTCTCCAAATTCCTCCACAGCCTCAACATCTACATCCGAAACAGCACTGCCTTGCACCAGCTTCCCATCGCCTGGAATATCCATGTTATCACCCGCTTTCCCAACCTCCCTTCCGCCATCTGATGAGCTCTTACCAAGGAAATCGTCATCAAAAACTTCATTGTTACCAACGGGCAAATTACGAACCGTTGGCATCTGCACAATCTTCTTCTTCTTTTTCTTCTTGGATTCTCCACTCCATAACACACCCTTCTTGGGCGTAACTCCAGTCCTCTTGCGCCGTAATAACTTCTTCTTCATCCAAGCAACAGTTTTCTCAAGCTCTCCTACACGGGTTTCTAACTCCATGCTTCTTTCATTATCAACAGGCTCTTCACGCATATAGTAATGGCTCACTCTTTTTTGCTTCATAACAGGACAGCCTGGATCAGCTTTCCTCGACTGCGCCATATCCCTCTTCCTTTTTTTAGCTGCCTTCTGCACCTCGTGGTTATACACAGGCTCTCTACCGTCCCCTCCTCCCCAATCAGACTTCTTGAACTTGTGTCCAGCGTCAATAAGCGACACCATGTAGCTCACTCTGCGGTCAGAAATCTCATCATCCCATTCACCCCACCCATCAGGTTTGTCTGCCCCAACATCCATCCTCGGCTGCACAATTAACTGCACATATACAAACCAAACAAAAGATGTAAAGTGTACACCAGTACGAGTATTTTTCCACTGGAGAAGCTGTACACGTGTTCTCAGCTTTTTAAATTATTTTTTTACCTGATTGTGATGCTCGGCCTTCAACACATCAACAAGATTTAGCCCAGTGTGCTGTGGTAATCTCTCACAATCAAAGATCTTTAGATCATCATTCCCTCCCAACCTGGCCAACAACTGTGGGATCCCTTCATAAGCAACCAATTGTAGAGCCAAAGGCAAACCCGACATTTTCTTGGTTTTCTGCCTCAGCTTAGCACAAAATTCAGCCTCTGGATCCTCACATTTCCCAAGTATCTTCTTCCCAGGTATCATTGTATTCACAGTCCAGTAAAACGATTCACGCCCCCACGGAAAAGAAAAGAAACTCCTAAGATTCTCAAGCAACTTAACATGCTTCACAGTTGGCCTAGCTGGTTGGGTAGATGCTATAGGTACCCCATCAACAAGTATTATCAAACACAACCTAAATCTCCTGCTAGCTGACAGTGTCGTGTCTTCAGTTACCATCTTCACAACGTCAGGGATTGTAATGTCACGTCTACCTCCAAACAACTTGTCCCAGTACAAATAGTCTTCCTCCTTGTAATTGGGCTGGAAATCTACAACATAACCATTCTCAAACTCCCCACATGGCAAACCCGTCACATTCCCAAATTCAACCAATGAAAATCTAAATGGGTTCCCACCAAAAACTGGCCACACTTCATACTTCTTCTTCGTAACTACCTGCCGTGCTAGCATCGCGTGGACCATAACCGACGAGTAGCTGCACCTACGAACGGGTAACTTGTATAAATTTCCAAAACAAGACCTAAGAAGCTTCTCCATCTCAGGGGTTCCCCGTAAAACATCTCTGACCACCAAGAGTAGCTCTAGCGACGAGTAGACATTAAGCCTCCGGCTAGGGTATTGGTCCGTAGCAAATAACCTAGGAGGCAGCCTCTCATCCGGCACGCTCACGGGGGTCTCCTCCTCTGTTAAAATATTAGTGACTCGTCAGGAAAATTAGTCAAACCAAAAGACCGTAAATAATGATTTCCAGATCTAACAATTAGAACCAAAACCCTAGAAATTTACTCTAAACATGAACACGACTCACCGGATATCGGGTCTTTTCCTTCTCGTCTTTTTCTTGTCGTCATCTTCACAAATCTGAAATCGTCACCTCCGCGTTTTGCTCTCCAAGTTTCTGCGGCGATAAGAACAAAGTCAGGGAAGAGAAAATGAAACGACTAAAAAAGGTCCAATCCAGAAACCCGAGGAAGTAAAGGTTCCAGTTTTTGAAATTCAAAACCCAAAAAAAAACCTAACTAAACACTCTAACTAAAACCCATCTCGTTGTCCAAATTAGGGGCACTCTGGTCTTTAGCCATCGATAATGTGCCCCAGTAGTCCAAAGTGTCTTATTCTGTTGGACAAAGTTAAAATGTGACCCAAATTGTTATTCTCTCATGTTATTATCGGCACTAGACTACAGTTATTTTTGTCGGAAATGTGTAATACATATACACAAGAAGTCAAAATGATGTTATTCTTGTTTTAAATATATATATGAGTATGTATATATATATATATATATATATATATATATATATATAAAGGATAACACTCTCTCTTCATAAAGAGAAGCACATCACTTGAAAGAAGGGGTTATCATGTGTTATCTTCTAAATAATAATTTCATTATTTTTCTTTACTTTTAAGAATTGATGGCTTAATTTGTAATAAAATAGAGTATGCATGTTCCTCTTCCGTTTTAGTTCTACGATTTATATAATTAAATAATAAAAATAAAAATAAAAATTTTCCAAATACGCAGACAATAAAAAGAAATCTGAACAACGAAACTTAGAAGCAATCAAACCTTCAAAAACAAAAACTTAGAAGCAATCAAACCTTCAAAAACAAAACTAAGAATAAGGTTTGGTGGAACTGCTACTAATAATGGTGGACCACAATGACATATGAAGAAGAAAGGATAACATCATCATGATTTGATTAATTATAATCAAATCATGAAGTTAACACTCAAATGCTAATTTTGATTACAACACTTCAAAAGAGATTCGTCGCAAAAATCCATAGTCATTTTTGAATCTTCCACGTATTACCCTAATGCATATATATTTTTAAGTTTGCCTTATCCTTCAAAACAATAGAACATTTACACTTAAATGAACCTTTTTTTAAAGGTGAGACAAACTTGATTTGGTACTTTTAAACTCTCATAAAAATAATAATACAACAGTAAAATTTAAATTGAGAATACACTTACAATTTAAAATTCTAAGTAAATTTTAAAAAATTTATATTATATATAGATTGTGTAAAAAATAGCAACACTAAATTATATTGAAGAAAGTTAAGGTTAATATTTGTAAGTTTTAAATGACTATCAAAATATCAACTGAGAAAAACTACATAATAGGTGATATAAAATAAGATAGCTATACTTAAATCAAACAAACAAATTTAACTTCTTGAATAAAATATACATCAACGCATTCAAATAATCATGAAAAGGTTAGGATGCAAATTAGTCTAACAAAAACTATTAGTGTCAAATAATTAGCCAAACAAAATGTATAATCACCCACTAAAACTAAGCCTCCAAAAAATTAAAATATTTACGTCTTGCTTATATAAATATATTAAGTATTTTGGTATTCGAAAAATGTATAATCTTTATATGATAGAATCTATATATATAAAGAAGGATTTTTCCTCTTTTGAGAGTGACATGTCACTAAATAGGGTGATAACATGTTGACATGTGTCCATGTTGATTAAATTTTGCGTTTTCTATTATGTTTCTGTCCCACAAATTAAATTGGAGTTCATATTTTTGTCGAAAAGATTCAGCCCATGTGAAACCGTTATTTTGTTAATCCGCAGTGTTTCGTTGATTAAAGTGTTACACGGTCTTTGTCTGTCCTGCAATTAGCGGCGCGGAATACGGTTCCACTATGAACGTCAGACTCACTTATTAGATGGTCTAAGGTGCAGAAACCAGTGTGATGATTCCGTATATTGGTCTTGATCAAGACCTTTCACTTTATTTATATCAGTCGAAACAAGGTAACTTCTAGATCCATCGCATTAAACATGTTGTTAACTCCTCCGGCCACGATCTAGATTTAATGTGTTAATCTTCTTAGAGACAGTATTTTCACTGTATAAATAATATACATTAATTTACAAGAAATAATTGTATTCAATAATAAAATACAATCAAAATACAATAATCTAATTATGTATAATGACCAAATTGTAAGAATTATATATTTTATGAGTTAGTCAATAACATTTATTTCAAAATTTCTAATCAAAGTAATGGGTAACTCATTTTCATATATAATAATATATAAGATTCTAATCAACATGTATATGTATAAATAGTAAAGATAGTTTCATATTACATATTTATCTGTCATAAAATAGTTTTACTTATAACAAATAAGTTATTTCCTTATATCGCATAAATCATTAGAAAATACATGAAACAAATATATAACTAAGAGAAAATAACTTTACTCAATGACTTTGATTGTAAATTTAAAAATCTATGTGACTTATTGGTATAGTTAAACTAAAATAAATATTAAGAGAGAAAATAAATAATTATATTTTAAATTTTTATTATAACTAGAAAAATTTATAATTTGAAGAATAAAATAAATAGATAAAATTGCTGTAAAATAATTATAAACTTTAATTCTGTTTTCAAAAATTAAAAGTAAAATAAATTTTTACTATTAATTTTACTTGTTCGCCTGCTCGTAGGGTGGCTTTACCCCTAGTATGTAATAAATAAATAAATAAATCACTGTTCTACAAGTTATGTATTTTAGAAGTTTATAGATACTTAGAGAATCTCTACTAGAATTTTTTATCCGTGAAATACTCAAAATACGTCTATATGTATGTATATATAAATATTAGTATTTACATATTAATAATATCACATGTATTATGATAACCTGGGTTTGGCTGTCATGATTCACACCTTCTTAATCAGATAAATGGGGTTCACATACATTACAAGCCCATGAATATTCCAATAATCCTCAAAAAAAAAAAAAAAAAAAAAAAAAAAAAACATCCAACAATCCTTTCTAGTTCATAATTTTCATGTAAATTTAGAACTCATTTGCCACCATAAATGGCATCCATATCTCTAGTTACCTTTCCATGGTCGATGCCGTCTTTTCGACACAGGAAAGTTGAATTGAATAAATTTACAGATTTAAAATAAGAAAAAGAAGAAAACAATTAAATTTATTACAGCAGGGCTACTTATACTATGATATTTGTTTCCAAATTATTACGAATCGAATAAGAAATTAGTTCCTTTTATCCCAATAATGTTAAATGCAGTCATGTGTTACAACATTGTACCCACGATGTTCAGAACTTAGCAAGGCTTCCCAATGGACAATACCAAAACTTGTCACTTAGAGAGTTAAAGATTGGACTTCATGTTTCTCGGCTCTCAAGATTCGTCTAGGTATTTCCTTTATTTTATGATAGTTGATTGCTAGTTTCATTTTTAAGCTATAGTTTATATTGTTTTACTGATTATGTAGATGAAGACGGAGTTAATAACAACGAAAACACAACAAACAACACCAATATAATGTTCAAGAGGACAAAGAGGAAGATGAAGAGTATAAACACGAGATCAGAGATGAAACTCAATCTAAGCCCACAAGGAACATGTCATCATCATCTTCTTTATATAAGAAGCACCTGCACAGCAGTGTTTCTCCTACGTCGGCGTCTCAGAACCGGCGCCGGTTGAACTGGCTGAAGCCACCGGCCTCAGAGGAGTATCTGAGGTCATCGTCTCTTCTTTTGGCCGTGAAGATGGAGGTTTCGAGGACGGTGAGCCGTAAGGTTCGTCTCTAGCACCTCCGTCTAGCAGTATTCCAATTTTCAGCTCAGTTTTTTTA